CACTTCTGATCATCTCTGCCAAGAACGTATATGAACAGGTCCCAGTCCGAGAAAAGGATGGAAGGATCCTGTTCATATGGACCTGTCGTCAGACAGAACACTAAATAATAATAACGCATCCATTACACCAACGACATTGCAGCTAAAGTGTGCAACCGAACTGTAAAGGCCTTTGAAGTGTTTATTTTTGTGTTGGATTTGACGAACAGAGTTCTGTTCCCAGCGGGGGGCAAAGCTTTTCTTAACTTCGCCACCGCGTGGTGAAGAGAAGTTACGCTTTATCTCTCATCTCTCTGCAAGAGGTCTGCGTCCTCAGAGTTCGCTGCAATCTCGGGCGGTAGGCTAGCTGTGATATTGATGGACCCTCTTGCGTAAGCGGAGGGCACAAGAGCTGGTGATAGATAACACGGTGCTTACCGAAGACTGGACGAGTGTGTTCTCCTTTCTTTGTCTCCTCCTTGCAAGTGATATCTTAATTCTGATTTTTTTGGGTGTGATGCTGTACAGTATAATGGGGGGTTATCAACTTTTCGGAAGAATACACAACCTCCATCTTCAAGGTAGACGTATACCGTACAAGCCGACATAACGCAATAACTCAAAATACCAAAATCAACATTTTTTACCGACATACGTAATATTAATTTATTATTTTTATTCTTCGTAGGTTTTTAATTTTTAATTTTCCAAACATCATTAACATTTAAAGCAATTAATATGGTGAAATAAATGTACTGATGCCATGTACGAGGCGCGTCCACAAAGTAAGTTTCCCACTCGTCCCACAGCTAGTAAACCTTATATTGCGCGAAGCGACTGTGCGTACGTGATAGAGCAATGACGTAGCATGGCGCATGCACTAACGGCACTTCCCGCATTCTCACAGTAGCATCGTTGCAGCTGTTGAAGATGGAGGTTCTTATTCCAGCTCCCGCCGACTGTGAAGTGCGGTCAGTGATAACGCTAGGCCGCACACGGCTCGACGGACAGCAAGTCTCCTGCAGGAGTTCAGCTGGGAGGTGTTTAATCATTCACCCTACAGCCCGGACCTCGCTCCCAGTGATTTCCATCTTTTCCTACACCTCAAGAAATTCCTGTCCGGTCAGCGTCAGCGTTTTGAGAATGACAGAGAGGCGGAGATGGCTGTCACACAGTGGTTCCAATCCCAGGCGGCAGACTTCTACGACACAGGTATTCAAAAGTTGGTCCCACGGAATGACCAATGTCTCAATTTCGGTGGCGAATATGTTGAAAAATAGCTGGACACTTGCTGTATCTGTTGCAATAAATATCTCCATGAAATTGTGTTTTGTTTCTGTAAACGGCCCCAGGGAAACTTACTTTGTGGAAGAGCCTCGTACTTCCACCTTGTTACGTAGTCATAAGCATTCTTTTGGGTATGAATGATTGCCCGGACAGGTTTTGCTGTCTTCGGTTTGTGATAATAAATAAAGTTGTGTGAAAATGTTTTTCATTTTCTTCCAGGAGCTGTTGGCAGATGCAAAGAAATCACAGCATGACGTTAAGGTATGCATTGTTAGTGCCAGGCAAAAAGAAAATACAAAATATTTACACTCTCATAATTGTAGATGTTTATTTTACGTGTGTTATAGGGGGCTAATACTTTAGTCCGTGTAGTGGTTTTAGAAAGAAAATATGAAAATAATCATGCAGTTTAGTGGTTTATTTCCACGAATAATTTTTCTCTTGTGCAGATTCCCACTACATTTGCCAGCTGTTAATTCAGTGTTTTGCAACATCGCATTTGTAATTACAAAATACGTGTCTTTAATGACGTGCTCGCACTTGTTTTCCAAATCAGCTATCGAGTGCCTATGGTAATGCTAGTACTGTGTTGTTTCCACCCCACGAAGTCACCCCATTGAAACGTTTACATTGACATGTGTATTAGCCACGGAAACGTCGAGATGTCCCTCCCGCCAGGAGACCATCAGGGACCCCGAAAGTGCCTACTGCCAGTACTCGTGCATCGTGGCGACATCTGGCTGGTGGTGGCAAGATCTGGAACTGTCCTAAGGGACAAAAAAGAACTCTGTTTAAAGTCGACTCGATCTTTTAATACTGTCTGACGGCTTCCATCGTGGTTAAAGATCAGGAAGCTGACTAGTCGGCTTCTCTTAACGTCCTGATCCAACCAAACAAGTGAATATCTTCTCTTAGCTTTCAAAAAACTCCTGTACTCTGTTCGTAGACGAGAATGGCGCTGCTGCGTAGGAGTATATATATATAGTCTGCGCAGTAGTTTTTGGCCCGTGGAATTTTAAATGGGAAGGCTAGGAGCGAGTCTCTTTTGCGATAGTATAATGCTGTGACTGAACGCTCCAACAAAAGAAATACGCTGACCGTGCCATCTCAGGTATACAGAGTAGGCCCGTCCGCCAGCTACGCTAGCTTCTCCACTACTGCGTCGACTATACGGAAGGAAGCCTGGGGACTGGTAATACTTTATGTTAAATTACGGGATTAGGTGAAGCGTGGAAGGAAATTGACAAAACACACGGAAGATTGTACAAGAAAGTACTAGGACCACGAAGATGCAGAAATGGAGATTGGAAGATACAGCAGGGATTAAAGTCGATGTGGTGGGATGTTATGTACTGGCAGTGCCTATGGACATTAAAGACGATGTTGTGAACGGGGAAAACGAGATTCAAAATCTGGCCGAAGAACATGAAAGAGGAATTATAA